TATCTGCCTTTGTTTTTTTGTACTATTCTCTGAGGTCCACTTATAATGTTATCAAGATTTTTACATAAAAATTCAGAAGTAATAGGCTATTTTCTGTCCTTTTTTGACCCTCCTCATCGAAATGGATTGTAGAGTCGGAAGTAAACACCCACTGGTATGATTTGGTAACAGCTGTGCGTGTTTGACAGCCTATAGCGGGGTATCCAAACTCGGTCCTGGAGGGCCTGTGTCCCGCAGAGTTTTGAAGGCAGTGATAATGACAGGAGGTCTGAGAACGCAGAAACTTTAGCTACAACCCTAATTAAACACACCTGAACCAGCTAATCAAGCTCTTACTAGGCTTACTAGAAACTTCCAGTCAGGTGTTTTGGAGCTGGTTGGAGCTAAACTCTGCAGGACACCGGCCCTCCAGGACCGAGTTTGGACAGACCTGGCCTAAAGCCTTCATAGATGGACGCTGCTGTGAATTAGGTTAATAAAGCATAAATTCTCAGTATATGGGTAAAAAAGGAAAAAAGGGTTTAAGCATAAAAACAATAAGTGTAATACTGCTTTCAATCTTGTCAGGCATATTTACAACAAAAGTCAATTTATGACATATTAAAAGACTAATTACCTTCACCCCAAATACTAATTAGTAAAATTTGCCACTGTCCTAAGTTTTGCCCGTTTGTCAGTAAGAATGTTTTACTAATTTAAAACACAGTCAAATTTAATATGCTCCCTTATTCTTTTATATATTTTAATATGTACACGTCAGAATAAGCATGTTGTTTGAGTTTTTACTTAAATATTGTGTTACACTGAATGACAATGTAACATTATTTCAACCAAATTTTGACATTTTATTCTCCAAAAACTTATTTGAAACCTTAAAAGTAGACAATTTACTTGCATTTAATGTGCTTTCTATGGACATAAAATCACTTTTGTAAATTTCTTTTGATGCGGGCATCTTAACGTCTTTGACCCATGTATCAAACGATCTGTAATAACAGACAAAGCAATAGTGACCATGCAATAAAAACAGTTGCTCACACTCGTGAGGTGCGACATTACTGTCAGATCCAATATAGTCGACACAGCATCGTCTTTTAGTTTCAGTCTTTCTGAAAATCCAGCGTTGAATTGTGCCTTTTTTGTAAACGAATCAGCGGTAAAATGAAGTGAACCAAGGACCAAGAACTTACTGATGCGGTCTGGAACTTCATTAAAAACGTCATCTACTCTTTCCTCATTTCGAGTCGGAGTCTGAAAGTGACTTTTGATTGAGCAACTTGTAGATCTGTGCTGCTCGAGCTCAAACTGTTTTAGACGGTACAAAAAGAACCAGTTCAAAAGAATAATTTGTTTGTGAACCAGACATTTTTGGGTGAACTATCCCTTTAACTGCATAATACTTATTTTCTCTTTTCTTTTCATTTCTTTTCTTTTTTTTTTTTACCAAAAAAGGCATGTGAATACCCAGAAAATTTGCATAGTGTGTATTTTAATGCTCCAGCATACAGTAGCCTGCTTTATTCATTATACCGGTGTTGTCTATTTTTGAACACATTTCTGACAGCATAAGAGCTCAGAATAGTAGCTAATAAGAAGATAATGAAGCTCTTCACCCACACTAGGTTTTGTGTCTTGTGTGTTTGCAGGAAAGGCGACTACGACAGGTACCTAGCAGAGTTTGCCACAGGTAATGACAGGAAGGAAGCAGCGGAGAACAGTTTGGTGGCGTATAAAGCTGCCAGTGACATCGCCATGATTGAGCTCCCCCCCACACATCCCATCCGGCTCGGCCTCGCTCTCAACTTCTCCGTCTTCTACTACGAGATCCTTAATTCCCCCGACCGCGCCTGCAGGTTAGGCTTCTTCTCTCCTCGCTTAAACTGTTTTTTGACTTGCTTCTGTCCAATATTAATATGCGCAGACGCCTATGGCTAAGCAGTGTTATTTTAGTGTAACTGATCTACTCGTATAGTTTTATTCATATTTTGAACTAGTTTTTATTTTGATATTTTCTGTTTTCGTTTTAAATTGAAAGTAATTTTTGCTTGTAGTTTTTTTTTTTTATCTCTATAATTATTATTTTTTTATTCATTTTTATTTCACTTATAGTTTGAGTTATTTTAGTATATCAAGTTAAACTGAATGAAAATGAGATGCTCCCTTAGCAACTAGTTGAAATAAAATAAGTTTAAGCTTATTTTTTCACACGTAATTATTCTTTTTAATGGTTTCGGTTTTAGTTAATAAGCCTATGGCTATCATAGGTTGATTCCTAAATATGTGCGATAAATGTGGCTGTGTACATCCTAAAAGTTTAAAATCATTTGCATATATATTAATGATTAATAATGTTGACATTATACATTAAATATTAATGATTACTAATGTCATCACATTGCTGGAATATTTGCATTTTAGATTCCCAACAGCAGCGGTTCCTTGAGAAGACCCCCGTTTTCTGACACAATATTTGAAGCCTGCTAATATATCAATCTTATTTAAAAGACAGTTAATATTGATTAATATTATCAATTTAACTGCAGGATGAGAACATGAACTGATTTGAGCTGAATAATAACACTTGTCTGAATTCAAAATTGATGTGCTGTAGAAAATAAACACTGTTATTTTCCTGATTATTCATGTCAAGCTGCTTTGAAACAGTCTATATTGTATAAACTGCTATAAAAATAAATGTGACTTATTGATATATTAGCAGAAAATGGGAGTGCTGATTTATAAACGTAATTAGCCGTGATGCATTTTGTGATTCCAGGTGTTTAATAAAAACAATAGTTATTTAGAGAGAAAAAGAAATATGATTTCAGTCTACATCTCCATTTTGTGTTTATCATTTCAAATGAGATCTTTTTAATTAGTAAGTAATTTATTATATTTTTTATTCATTTTAATACTTCATGGTGCAGCCCCCTGCTTGAGAACCACTGCCTTATGGGAAACCCCTCTGAAAAAGCCAGTCTGACTCTCCTCTCGCTCCTCCAACAGGTTGGCGAAGGCGGCGTTTGACGATGCGATAGCGGAGCTGGACACGCTGAGTGAGGACAGTTACAAGGACTCGACGCTCATCATGCAGCTGTTACGGGACAACCTGACGCTCTGGACCTCAGACACACAGGGAGACGGTGAGACACTCACTGGACATGTCCATAGTAGACTGAAGCAAACACTGTGAAAGTGGATTACATAATGATTGTAATAAAAAAAAAAAGTTCTGAAATGAACCGTGAGGTAAAATGACAGCTTGTTTAAAGAGCGTTTTGAGGTTAAGAGAAAGGACCATAATAAAACCATGTAATCCCACAAGTTGTAGTCTGAAATAGAAAAAGAGAGAGACAAATTCAGTAAAACAACAAATTAATAAAGAACTTTTGATAACTTTAATGAAAACTTATACATACATATATATAAACATTTTATTGGATTGTAATATTTCTACTCCTCTGAGTTAGGCTTGCCGCGATAGACGGTGATACCGGTGTTAAGCCGCAACACCGGTTATGTCACTTGCCCACCGCGGCACCAACCCCCACCGTCGTTTTGATTTTTTGTAGTAATAAAAATTATTTAGTTCAGTAAAAGAACAGACACTACAATTAAAACTGAACGCGGCTGCTCAATGCAGCGTGCCAAACGACCGTCGCATCACAGATCAGATTTAATTTCTCCAGTGAGGTGAGTGAGTCCAGCTGACTGACACGAAGAGTGAGGTGAGACAGACAAGACGATCGCGGATGATTTAGTTTCGAAACGAGATGCAAAAGCACCTGTTTGGCAGTATTTTGGATTTTGAAAAGCCTGTTGACTTTTGCCGTTTATCTAAGGTGATTTTGGAAGTTT